TTAAATATATATATATATATATATATATGTATATATATACATATATATATATATATATATATGCGTTTAAATACTTATTTGTATGATTATTCATATTTTTTCGTGGAGGCGCTGCTGGCCCCAATGCAGAGGCAGCTACATTATTCTGCTGTATGCATCATTTTTGAAGTTTTTCTTTAAAGAAGTACTATTTGTGTGTTTTATTTTATTAGTTCTTCGCTGAAGAAAAAGGAAATGAAGGGTGCTCTCAGCTGTCTTCATCAATGTCTTTCTCTCTGCTGCATGTACACCGCAAAAGCAGAAGAAGGGCGATGATAATTTGTGCTATAAGACAGCAGACAACTTAAAAACAAAAGAAATATTCTTTTTAAAATTCTTTTTTAACTTCCTTAACCCACACCTAAGGCCGCCAGCGGTAAGGAGAGAATTACGGTGTATATGCAGAGTATATGTATAATGTTGGTGTTGAAGATGCATTAATAACATTCTTTTTTTGCGTACAATGTTTAAACAACATTTAAAATATTTTCGGCAGGTTTTTTCATCCCAGTAATATATTTACTACTCGTGCAGACACACCGATGAGAGAACCCCTAACGCTGATTGTAATAGTAGTAGTAATAATAATAGTAATGATAGTAATAATAGAAATAGTAACAACAACAATAATAATACAGTAATATCAACAACAACAACAACAATAATAATGATAATAATAATACAATAATAATAATAATAATCGCGGTAATAACAACAATACTAATAATACTCGCTGCTACGAAGCATCACCACTCATATCTTTTCTCGGGAGAGATATTACTTTTAATTGGGACTGAAAATGTCTGAACAGAAAAAATAAATGAAATAAAAATGCAGAAAATTATTTGAGCTGAAATAAATAAAATATATTTCTTTTCGTGCACACAGGGATTAATCTATATATATGTACATATATGTGCACAAATTAATATAATATTCCTCAAATTTTAATAAAAGAGAGGCATTCAGATTAAGTAGATGGACAGCTGAGTCGCTGATCATGAATATAACAGTAGTAATAGCAATTCTTGTATTTTTATAAATGAATAACATATTGAACGGCTGATAGCGGCATTTTCGTGTACTTCTCGTTTTGAACGAAACGAGACGATCACGAATTCTAAATAATTTGTTTTAGAACACAGTACCCTCTCTAACTAGCAAGAAAAGAGAAGAAGGAAATAAAATAAAAGGACCAAATAGCTGTTGAAGGCCCATCATTCCATATACTCAAAACATGCATACTTTAATCGTCTTGCATTACTCTTTTCCCGGTTCGGAGGAAGAAAGAAAAAGTAGAAAATGCAGGTAAAACAAGGTGCATACTCTTCAAAAAATTCATAAGACACAGAGTTTAAACAATTTTTGCGTAAGAGGTTTATTTAGCTAAAATGAGGTAAATATTATATCGGCATTCTTTCATTCCAACTTAAGAAAGAATTCAATAACTGTTAACCACCTAAAAAAAGAAATTTCATGTTGCCTCTTTTCGGGTGTATGGGCAGCTCTGTCATGATGAAGTTTCGCGTTTTGTGCACGTCTTCATTTATTTCATGCAAGAACAGATGTGGGACTGAGCTGAAGAAACCTCGGGAAGTGGCAATATTCTTCTTTCTAGGCAGCTGAATTTAAATACATTCATCTTAGAAATACCAATTTGAACGCCTGTTTCTGTTGAAGGACAGCGAAGCAAATATCGTCAACTCTCGGCCAGCGCGAGTGCAAGAACAGCAGTTGTTACTGTTCAACAAGAAATAAAACAGGACTGACAGAGCGTCTTTCAAAGAAGATTCGAATTAAATTTATATTTTACTTCCTTTAAAAAAGTTGTTCCTTCCATTTTCAGGCGTTTGTCGTGCAGAAACGGCAGAGAGAACCGCCGCTTTCTTCACATGCGTCCGGCAGCCCCCAGCAACACCCGCTGCCCATCACCTTGTAAATAATCGCAAATTTTCGTATTTTTGTTTTCTTCCCGTTTTTTTAACATGGAAAGAGACGAAATTGATTTATTTTTGTGCCATTCTTCCCTCAGCAGCTGTGAAGTTTATGTTGCCGCCGTTTGATCGCCGCAGAAGAAATTCTCCTACAACGGATGAGCCGAGGAATCTGCCTTTAAATCGATGCGAAGTATCATTTCTGCTTCTCACCTGTCTTCTCTTAGCACGCCCACGACGAGTTTATGCGGGTTCTGATGATGTTCAGGGCCAACAAACAGTGCTGCAAGAGCAAGCTCGCGGATTCTCTTCTGTCTTTCCACGCGAAATCTGCTGTTTCTGCATGACGCATTCAAATTCACCTTCAGCAGCAAATGGGGCTGCACCCGCCCCCACCAGAGTCGGGGCCTGAGGCCTCAGGCCCTCCTGCAGCATGCGTGCCATCGCCATCCCCCGCCAGCAGCAGCAATAGCAGCAGCAGCAACAGCAGCAGCAGCAGCAGCAGCAGCAGTATCCCGCAGATCGAGAGGATGTTTGTGACTCCTACTGTTCCCGCTAACGAAGCACTGAGGGCTGAAGCAGCAGCCCGAGTTGCTGCAGCAGCACGTAGCCTCTCAGACACGGAAGCATCTCTGGACACAGCAGCAGGTGGCCGCATCCCTCGTATACTCGCAGAAGCAACAGAGAGACGCGTGAGGTGGCAGCTGCTGCCTCCGGGAAGCACAAAAGACTCCCCAGGTGCTGCAGGTGCTGGAGGTGCTGTTTCGTGTGGCTATCGATACAGAACAGCAGCAGCGGCAATCGCAGGAGCCGCAGCAGCAGATACACTGACACCAGGTACCACCGATGCTGGAAGCAGCAGCGCAGGTGAGGAAACGCATCGCAGGCGGGTGCGCTGCAGCAGGCGGCAGCAGCAGGAGAGCGAAGGCAGCGGCAGCAGGAAGCCGGGGAGGCACAAGCAGCGGCGTTGGCTGCATCAGCAGCTGCTTGTTGCTGCTCTGCGCCGCCTTATATTTGCTGCTGGAGAGGACCCCCGTGAAGCTAAAATAGACATGTGGGGAGCACCGAAGCAGCCTTCCTGCTGGCAGCTGCTGCAGGCTGACCCTGTAGCACGCGAGTTGTACATAAAGAGAAAAGAAGGAAACCTAGAGGGGCCCCCAGGGGCCCCTTCAGAGTCTTCTCCAGAGAGAGAAGGCACTCAGCAGCAGCAGCAGCAGCAGCAGCAGCAGCAACAGCAGCAGCAGCATTATCCGCTGCTGCTGCGAAAATCGCACTGCCTTAGGATTGTGAAGCAGCAGCAGCAGCAGCAGCAGCAGCATATGGGCAGGCCGGCGCTGCGAGCTGCTTCTGTAGATGGATTGAGGCACTCGGAGCTGCTGCGGCGCAGAGCGTTAGACAGTGAAGAGAGCGAAACAGACACAGACTCTGCTCCCCAAGCAGCAGCAGCAGCTGCAGCAGCAGCAGCAGCAGCAGCAGCCCTGCCAAGTCGTCCAGGTGCAGCAGCCTCTCCCGGCGCTGCTGCCCTCGCACGGGAACTCGAAGTGCAGCGTTTGCTGCTGCAGCAGCTGGCGGAGTCGGAGCTGCAGCTGCTGCCTTCAGTGCAGCGTATGAAGTCTTTGCGTGCAGCCTTCAGGCCAATGAAGCAAATAACCAGAGATGCTGCTGCTTTCTTTCGTATAAGTGCTGCAATTGAAGGCGCTATTCGCCAGGCATACAGCTCGCTTGCTGCTGTAAAGGGGGGCCTGAGGCAGCTGCTGCAGCAGCAGCTGCAGCAAGAAGCAGCAGAAGCAGCAAAGGCAGCAGAAAAACAAAAACACAGAAGGCCAATCCTTCACAGCAGCAACAGCAGCAGCAACAGCGGGGAGTCCCCGAGTGGCAGCAGCCCTAGCAGCAGCAACAACAACGCTTCCAGCAGCAGTAGCAGCTGCAACAGCAGCAGCAGCAACAGCAGCAGCTTGCGATGTGTGCGTCTGAATAAGGATTCGGAGGTGCCGAAGGCTGAGGCAATCTCTGCGCCGTCTATGTCTGCTGATGAGTTGCACTTTCTTGATTGTGTAGAACGCCTGCAGCAGCAAGCTGAAGCAGCACAAGCAGCTGCAGCAGCAGCAGCAGGAGCAGGAGCAGGAGCAGCAGGGGAGCAGCGGGAGTGGCTGCTGCTGTGGCGGCTGTCTGGGTTTGAACGAAAAGTAGCGCATGCATTAGTTAGCCTAGCAGCAGACTTAGAGTCTGTCTCGCTCTCTCCTCTAGACCTACCAGCCCCCCTAAAGGCACCTCCCTCTACACCTCAGCAGCAGCAGCAGCAGCAGCAGCAACAGCAGCAGCAGATGAGCAGACGGAAGGTCGCTGCTAACACCCCACAGAAGGTTTTGATTATTTGCAGAAAACGTCAGGCTGCAGAGACACCCGCCTCCCTGCCGCCTGTTTCTCTCGCTGCTTTGTTGGTTTGCGCTGTAACTGCAGCTATATAAGGCCTCAACCTGCAGTTTGATTTGCTGCAGCAGCAATTATTTATAATATTCAGAGAGATTTTTCAGGTGTATAGGCACCTCTTTGTCTCTCGCGCTGCAGCAGCACCCAAGAGGTGCAGCGACAGCTTACGCTGCTGTCTCTCTACCCTTCACGCATTTATTTTCAGGGCTAAGGAAGACATAAATTATTATTATTATTATTATTGTTATTATTATTATTACTATACTGCACTGCTGCATGCATAATAATTTATTAAATGAATAGAAGACAATAATAAACAAACCTCAGTCAGCCCTTAGTAACAAAAAAAGAGTTCTTTTATTCCCCTTTATATACATATATATATATATATATTTATTTATATGTAGATATATGTATATATATTATATAAAATATGTTTATCTATGTGTATATATATATATATTTATATATCTCCTGTGGTTCTGCGAATAGAGGTAGTAAGACGACAGCTTTTTTGCTTAGCTGCAAAATATGTTTCGCAGTAATTTGCATTTAAAATAATTATTTTATAATTAAGTTTAGGTAGATAATGAGAAATTATTTATTTGAATTTAATTATATAAACTAGTGTATCAATCGTATTCGCTAAGCAACACTGAGTTAATGAGTTTGTTTGCACAGCCGCCATCGCTTATATATATATATATATATACATAGATGTATAAATATAATATATATTGTATGTAATATATATATATATATATATGTATTATATACACCTCTTTCTGTTTCTCTATCTCTCTCCCTCTCCTTATATATATGTATTATGTACATCTCTGTCTAAATATACATATCTATTATACATATCTATTATATATATCTATTATATATATCTATTTATACATACAGATGCATATTTGGTTCCTTCTCTGTCTTTTGCGTTGTTTCTTTTTTGTTTGCGCTCTTCTTTTTTTTGTTTGTGTCTGACAGTATCTCCTTTGATTCTTCTTTTTTTGTTATAGTAATAATTATAATAATTATAATAATTATTTATTTATTTATATTAATTTATTTTAGAATAAATAAATAATATTTGTTATTTAAAACGAAAATTCGCCAGTGGCGCGATCAAACGGAATTTCGCGGCCTCCAACCTGCAGAAAAAAATAAAACGAAATAAAATAAATAAATGTTTGATGGGGTGTATATGCAACATTAGTTATATCTATTTATGTTTCTTTCTGTTTATTTATACATGCAGCGATTACTTCTTTTTTAGGAAAGGCAAATAATAATAATAATAATAATAATACACACATACTTGAACATACTATAGATATATATGTATATATATAACGAGAGGAGCACTGAGACAACAAAAGAAGCAGAAGATCAGCACAAAGAAGACGAAAAATATCAAAGAAATTTACTGTATCCTCACCCTTAGAATTCCGTGTCTTAAGGAGACCTTCCACTTGCTGCAGCGTCGAGAAGAGCCTGCAGAGGCCCTCTCAACCTATAAACAAAAACAATAGAATATAGAATAAAACAATTAAAAAGAAAATATAAATAACAAAATATAAAAACAAGAAAATATAGTCAAGAAAATATAACACAAAATATAAACAAGAAGAATAATATATGCTAATGTATACAACAAGCAGCACCTTTAAACAAAAACAATAAAAAAACAAAAACAACAAACAAAATATAAATAAAAATATATACTCAAGAAGTATTATATATGCGGCTGTATACACCTAGAAGCAAACGACTTGCATAATAAAGCAAAAACAAACAGAAGAAAACAAAGAGAGAACAAACAAAGAGAGAAAAAAGTCAGCAAGAAGAAATAAATAAACAAATAAATAAATAAATAAACAAAATAACAACCACACATCAAACAAATTCGCAAGAACGGTAATTAATAAACACATCAATCAAACCGCCTCGTAATAATGAAGAAATATAAATATTTAAAAATAAATAATAAAAATAATAAATAATAAATAATAATAATAAAAATAAATAATTAATAATAATAATAATAAATAATAATTAATAATAATAATAAATAATATATACTTTTTCAAAAAAAGCAAATATCCCGTCTGTTGTTGAGGGCTCTGCATCATCTAAGTCGGAGACATCATTAACAGACATATTTGCACCTTCTTCTTCGTCTTCTTCTTCTATAAACAAAAATAATAAATTAAATAAACAAAAATTATTAATTAATCAAATAAAACCCTCTCATATTTGCAATATTTATGTATGTGTTTTATATCTTCATTATTAGGGCTGTCTTTAGTATTTGCTTTCTATGCGCAAAACTACACAGAGGGAGACAAATATATTACATTATATTATATTATATTGTGTAATATTATATTATATTGTGTTATATTATATTATATTATATTATATTATATTATATTATATTATATT